AGATTTTTTAAAAGGGTGCTGCTATGTAAATAGATACTCATCTCAGGGAATTCAGCTTTGTGTAATGAATATTTCCTGATTTGTTTTTATTTATTTTTCTGGTTCATTTTTTTCCTGGTTTGTTTGTATTTATTTAAATTTTTATTTATTAGAAATTACAGATGCAAATATATTTGTAAAAAATAAAAAAGATTATGTGTTTGGTTTTGGTTTGTGTTTGATTTGTGTTTTTCAAGGAATTGTCCATTTCATCTAACTGGTCAAAATTATGTGTGTGGACTTGTTCATTGTACTACCTTATTATCCTTTTGATGTCTGCAAGATCTGTAGTGATATCTCATGTTTCATTCATGACATTTGTCATTTGTATCTTCTCTCTTTTTTCTTCAGTCTTGCTAGAGGTTTGTCAGCTTTACTAATCTTTTAGAAGAATTATCTCTTCGGGGCGCCTGGGTGGCTCAGTTGGTTAAACGACTGCCTTCGGCTCAGGTCATGATCCTGGAGTCCTGGGATCGAGTCCCGCATCGGGCTCCCTGCTCAGCAGGGAGTCTGCTTCTCCCTCTGACCCTCCCCCCTCTCATGCTCGTTCTATCTCATTCTCTCTCTCAAATAAATAAATAAAATCTTTAAAAAAAAAGAATTATCTCTTTTTTATATTGACTTTTTTCTATTTTATGTTTTCTCTTTCATTGATTTCTGCATTATAGTTATAATTTTCTTCCTTCTGCTTGCTTTCAGTTTGTTCTAATTTTTTTGTTGTTGTTGTTAGGTTCTTGAAGTGGGAGCCCATTGTATTTACCTATATTTTTTACTTGCTATGTTCTTTCTTCCTTCTTCATGTTCCAGAATTCTTTCTTTTATCATATTCTTACTGTTTAAAGAACTTCTTTTATCCATTGTTGTAGGGTACATCTGCTGGCAACAGATTTTCTCTTTTCCTTCATTTGAGAATGTCATGATTTCCACTTCATTCTTAAAAAATGCTTGTGCTGGGCATAAGATTCTTGGTTAATAGTTCTCTTCTTTTAATTTTTGACAAATAGTGTGCCACTTCTTTCTAATACTACTACTATGTTTCTAATTGTTTTTATCCTATAGGGTAAGATATTGTTTTCTCATTCAAATTTTTTTCTTTGTCTTTAATGTTCAGAAGTATAACTATGATGTTTCTTGGAATGGAATTCTTTGGCTTTACCCTGTTTATGGTTTGCTCAGTTTCTTCAGTCTGTAGGTTTATCTCTTGCTAAATCCAGGAAGTTATCAGCCATTATCTCTTTGTGTATTTTTTCATGCCTCTCCTCTTTCTTCTCTCCTCCTGGGATTCTGATCACAGGAATGTTAAATCTTTTGTTATAATCTCACAGGTCCCTGACACTGTTTATTTTATTTTATTTTTTTTTAGTCTTCTTTGTCTCTGTTGTTGAGATTGAGTATCTTTCATTGTTCTATCTCCAAGTTCACTGATTCTTTCTTTTGCTCCTTGCATTATGCTGTTGAGCCCATCCACAGGAGGTTTTATTTTGATGATTGTATTTTTCAGTTCTAAAAATCCCAATTGATTCTTTTTTATACTTTCTATTTCTCTCCCGAAACTTTGTATTTCCTTGCTGAAGCTTTTTTAAAAAAAATTATTTCAAGAATTATTGTATTTGCTTGTTGAAGCTTTTTATCATGACTGTCTTAATATCTTTTCAGGTAATTCTAAAATCTTTGTCCTCTAGGTATTGACATTTATTGATTGTCTCTTTTCATTCAGTTAGGTTCTTGGTATAACCATTGATTTTCTATTAAAATGTGGACATTTTAGTTGTATTTAAGTAGAAGAAAAGGAGAAACTACAACTACTCCATCTTCTCAGAAGTGGAATTCCATAATTCTAAATATCTTTTAAAGCAGATATTTTATATATTTTTCTCTTTTAGGAAGAAATACTTATTATAATAAAGTTGTTTATCGGGAATAACTATATATATATATACACATATATATGTATCCTCAGATTCAGATAGAGTCGTGATTTATAAATATGTATGTGAATAATTTTTTTTAAAGTACATTAATTAATCCCACATTTCCTCACATGACACTGAAAGACTTATGGAAAAAGTTATATACTTATTTCATATGTACAAAGTTATTATTTTGTAGTATCTTTCTGTCATAGCTTAGTTTTTTCTGAATTCTTTTTCTAATATTCTTGATAGGTATAGATCTAAGCAAAAATGCATATGTATATATGCATATATATGTATATATGTTTATATTATTTATATATACGTAATTTTTCTTATAACCAAATACCAGTGTCAACATAATTTTATCATTTCATTCTACTCTAATTTTCACATGCTCCTTAATAACTAAAAACTTAGGATGGTTGTAAGTGTTGCTGAATAAATGTTAAGATACTCTATTTTAATTTCTTTATTTGAACAACCATTGTATCAATCTCATTAAGTATGTTTTAGGTTGCACAATTTATTTTAAGGAGAGGAAAATTTATGGTATTTTTGAATTTCAGTGTCAGTGTTTAGAAAGGATGCCTATTTGTGTTCTTGAAATTTAAAAATAAGCATAACTGCTCATATCAGATTTTTCTAGTTAGGATATCTTCTGGGGAGAGATCCTTTGGGGATTATTTTTAATAGCCATTTCTGTGATTTTTCATATGTTTGTTTTGTGTCCTATACCATTTTTTTTTGTAGGCATAATAATAGTAGTATAATTATGAAATGGAAAATAGACGTGATTCAACTAGTTATGGTAGACTGGAATATTAAAAGGTATCTATATTCTTTCCTAATTAAATAATTGTCCACATGGTGAAGGTTTTTTTCTTCTTCTGATTTTAAAAACACTGCTACTGCATTTTTTAAATTCAGTGTTATAAGCGGTAGCATTTCTCACGTTAAAGTGTCACAGTGCCCCAGGGGAAGAAATGGTACTTCTCAGATTCTTACTGGGAACTCTTGCTGTTTTGAATTCTCATCTGTGTCTCAGAATCTCAGAACTGGAAGGAATCTCAGAGGTGATCTTATGCCTAACTTATACGTGAGTGTGGTGATTCAATGACACACCAATCTGTCCACATTAAATCTTGTATACTTTGGGGAAGAAATACTAAGTCTATCTCCTCATACAGATATCATTAACTAGATAATAACCTATGCAGAACTCTCGTGGCCAATGGCACAATTTTTTAAAAAAATTTATAAACTAATGTTATGATTTTAATATTTTCATGGTCTCTTTCATTAGTTCGTATAGCTGAGCCATGTTCTTTTTTAGCTTTAGTATACAGAAAGTGTAAATATATTGCCAGTAATGTAAATAAGCCTAATTTAGTCCACATAATAAACATCTCCATGTTAATTATTATAGGCCTTAAACAACTCCTTGTTTCTCACAGGATGAATTACAAACTTTTTATTATATATACAAAACACTTTTTGAAATGCCCACTTCCTTCTCTCTCATTCTTCTGCAGTTTTATGGAAATTCCTAAAATCCTTAACCAGACCATGCTTTATGATATTTCCATGACTATATGCAATTTGTTCCTTTAGTCCAGAATGCTCTTTATATGCATGGCAATCTCAGTTTAGCTCATCTCCCCTATTCAGCCTTTTCTGACCATTTCATCCTGTGTGGAATTGAGCTATCTCCCTTTTGCCTGCACTGTACTTGACCCATGAAGATTTTCTATCATAGTACCTAGAACTCAATTCATTGCCCATATGTAATTAGATGACCATGAATTTCTTGAAGGCAGAACTTATTGTTGACTCTCCTCCCTTTAAAAAAAAAGAAAAAAATGCTCCAGAGCTAATGGCCTCACATAGTCCATAGCCATAGCATGAAGAAGATTAATGTTGTTTTTGCTTAGCATTCTATAGCTATAAGTTGAGAAGACTTTCATCATCTCTCCCCACTTTTAAGGAGGACTTTTAAAAATCCAGAGAAGCCTGAACCACTTTATTATTTAAGGCATGCAGATTTATTGAAAGAAATAGAGTAACAAAAATGTCTTTTTTTTTTCAATCCAGGCATTTAATTTCTGTGGCTGTGTATTGGTAAGAAGTCTAATTTTATTTGGAAATCATACAAAAATCTTAATTAGGAACTTTTGTTCCACAAACCTCTCTCTACTTGATGGCTTTGTTGATTGGCCCACCTCCTCAGATACAGTTATCTATGTCTCAAGTCAAATTGGTCACAGTCAATAGCTCACAAAATACAATTTTAAAAGAATGGTGGGTCCGTAATGGGTTTGCCCCCAGTAGTATGAATCTACATAGCTCATCCGAAAATGCTCAGTCTAGGGAAATAGAGTAGACATATAGTTATTCTATAGCTGGGGGTAGAGGGAGACCAAGATGAATATTCTCCCTCATTTTAACATAGGAATGAAATAATCAATTTAAAACTGTACCATTTCTGATCTTTAAGTTGAAAAACCAGACTCATCATTTTATTACCTCATTTATTAAAATGTAACATGTATTTTAACAGAATTTATTTTTGAAACAAATTCCAGTGTTATCATTGATCTGCTGTAATGCTTTGTTAAAATTAGTAAATATTTAAATAAAGTTATTCACCCAGACACAAAAGCTTTTATTTATTGCATCTATTTTTCCGTTGTTTTAATAACTGACTTTTAGGGGCACCTGGGTGATTCAGTTGGTTAAGCATCTGTCTTCAGCTCAGGTCATGATCCCAGGGTCCTGCTCAGTGGGGAGTCTGCTTCTCCCACTCTCTCTGCTCCTCCCTCAGCTCATGCTCTCTCTCTCACTCTCTCAAATAAATAAATAATTAAAAAAAAATAACTGAGTTTTAGTCAAGCCCCTAATGTTTTGTACTTTTCAAAAGAGGTGTTAGTCTTACTAGAAATATTAACCAATATTTACTCCAGCTAATAATTTTTATTATGTTGCACTAAGATGAGTTTCTCTGTAAATAATTGAACTAAGAAAAGTTTCCTTTTCATTTGAAAACAGAAAGACATTGATGAACTTGATGATATTCTTACATCCATATTCAAACGTGAGATACCATATTATGAGTTTCGATCATTCCAACCTGAAATCGATCCTCAAAAAGAACGTGAGTATTTTCCAACTGCATCAATTATTCACACTGTGTAACTATTTAATAAATATTATAGCCAAGAAAAGAGCTGGCTGCATTGCTGATTAAATGTTTTAGACAATTTTCATCCCCTGGCAAGAGAGCACATTTGTAACAAACTTCTAAAGGTCCATTTGGTAAATTGTTTTATCTTAAGCCCTAAAAATATGCCTAACTTTTAAAATCAGCAAACCTGCTTCCTGATTTTTATTCTAAGGAAATTTTTGGACAATTGGTAATAGAGATTGTTGATCATAGCTTTGTTTATAATTAGCGAAAGTAGAAATAACAATCTTCCAAGCCTAGGTAATTGATTAAATAAATTTTGGCACATCCGTTAATGCAACCATCATAAACAAATTTTATTATGAATTGATTTGTTGGCTGGAGTGATGCTTTGATATATGCTTAATTGAATAAAAGCAGAGTACATAGTCGATCGAGTGTGATCTTCTGCTTAAAACAGTACATGGGTTTAATAGTATATATGTATATATATGTATACACATATTATATATGTAAAATAGTATATATAGCTTATATATATAAATATATATGTATTTATTTGTGTGTGTATATATATATATGGTCTGGACAGACATGTACCTGTTAACAATAGTTATGCAATTTCAGGTATTACATCTTTTTTTCATTTTACTTAATCTGTGTTGTCTACAATGACTGTGGGGGTTTTTTGTTTTTATTTTGGGGTTTTTTTTTAAGATTTTATTTATTTTTGAGAGAGAGATTGAGAGAGAATACGAGCCGGGGCAGGGGCAGAGGGAGAAGCGACTCCTTGCTGAGCAGGGAGCCCGATGCAGGACTCAATTCCAGGACCCTAGGATCATGACCTGAGCGGAAGGCAGATGCTTAACGATTGAGCCACCCAGGCGCCCTACAATGACTGTGTTATTTGTGTCATAAAAAGAAATATATAGAGCTCCTGGGTGCCTCAGTCGTTAAGTGTCTGCCTTTGGCTCAGGTCATGATCCCAGGGTCCTGGGATCGAGTCCCACATCAGGCTCCTTGCTCAGCGGGAAGCCTGCTTCTCCCTCTCCCTCTGCCTGCTGCTCCCCCTGCTTGTGCTCTCCCTTTCTCTCTGTCAAATAAATAAAATCTTAAAAAAAAGAAATATATACGTATCAAGAAAAATTATAGAGGAGCTACTACAAGAAAAATCATACTTCTAAATTTTGTCATGAGCTCAGCAGTATATTTTCAAAATTGCCTGTTCCTACATAGTTTGTTGACAGACTGTTTATAATTTGCTTATATGCCCACCATGCGCCAAACACTATGATAGAGACGTAATGGTGAGTAAGACAGGCATGAAGCTAAAGAATATGAGAGGTCGACTATAGGTATACTCTAGGACTATTTAGCAGAGGCTTATTCTGTAGAGTTTCTATGCTATTTCAAGCAGTTTTATCCTCAGGCTGGCAAGCCTCAGGGAAGCAGGAAGAAAAGAGTAGGAGTCTAAAGTCATAGCCAATTGTGATTTACCTAGATATTCAAGAACCTGTAAGATGTTTACATTATGAATTTACATTATGTGGAAAGGTTAATAATGGGCTAGTTTTGAATAAGGAATCCGGTGAGAGTGGTAAAAACTTACTTTATTTCCCATGTACATTTTAACAATATATAACTCACTAAGGTTAGACATTAAGTAGGCTAGAAAAGGAACATAATGTGATTTCTCACTGGAGACACTCATCATTTGATTGGAAAACAAGATAATATATAAGTCATAATAGAAAGAAACAATGTACTAAACTCTATGGAATTGATTATATCAACAATAGAATTTTAGAGAAAAGCTATGTTATTTTTCAGGCCGTGCTTCGTAAAGGAGGTAGGATTTTACCTGGGTCTTGAATGATGTGTTCCAATAAGGAAAGAGAAAGGAAACAGGAATTCTAGGCAGGAGAATGTGCATGGAAAGGTATGAGGATGGAATTATGACACAATTTTTCAAATTCTTCAGCATTGCATTTATTTAGGTTTTTGGTAGGAGAATTGTGGAATTGGAGAGAATGGAATGGTCTCTAATTTATATGGGTTAAGAATTCTAGCTAAGTTTAAAAGTGCTTCTCAGTATCATATTTAGGTTATAGAATGTGAATGTTAAAGTTGGAAAGGATGGAAAAGTTCTGGTCCCTTGTTTTCATAGAAAAAGAATTCTGGATGTGTTCCTGATACTGTGGATAGAGTTAAGCTTCTGCTTTTCTAACAAACTTCCAGGTAAAGCTGATGCTTGCCAGTCTCAGATCTTTCACTGAGTATCAAATATTTAGATCAGTGGTTCTCAAACTTGGTGCATATTATAATTAGCTGTGGAGCTTTTAGAACATTTGATGCCTAACTGCCCCCCCCCCACCCAGTAATGAAGAATCCGCTCTCAGTACTTTTTTAAAGTTTTCCAGGTGATTCCAATGGGCAGCCACATTTATCAGCCCCTTGTTTCTTCAACATATTACAGATTTCTACAGCAAAATAATTCATCTTCCTACTGATCTTTGGCATAGAGAAAATACTATTCTCTCTTTACAAAGGTTAGAAAATTAGTAACATATGAAAGTTTTGAACCATTACTAGAATTTAATGATCATTACGTGTTTGGAAAAGATTTTTATAAAACAATTACATTTTTAAAAAGAAGCTAAAAATGGAAAGTTCAATATAATCTAGGTAATTCATTCAGAAACCTCATTGCTGGGTATTGTTAGATGACAGATGCTATTAAACCTGTAACAGAAGCAAACAACCCTCATAACTTCAGGCTTTCACCCCTAGTGGAAGTACAGAATAACAAAATACAAATCACGGAACAAAAATACACAAGATAGACATGAATATGACTGAACTCATGTTTTACTTGCCTCCTTGACCTCATAATCCTGAATCAGTGTCAGCTTCAAAAAGCTGGTCTTTCAGACCTTGCACCTGTATTTTCATAGTGTTCAAGTTAAATTGATGATAACATTTGAGAGGCCTTTACACACAAAGTGGAATTAATTGAGCAAGAGAATTTGAGTTGTTAAGGAAGTTCTATAGAAACATTTCTAGAGATGCACTGAGAGGTAAGTTCAGCAAACAGTGAATCGGGTATAGTTCCAGATGTCTCTCCCTGAAGACAGTTCTACAATTGTTTGGTGATATGTTTTATGTATTAAATATTTATTATTTATTACTCTATATTTTAGCTGAAGTAAATTGGAGGTTAGGACACTGTGGAGAAGATAGTCATAAGGAATTGGTAGGGTATATTTGGGTATTGACCTACCCTAAGGGTGAGCCATGGAATTACATACCAATACCTATGGTTCTTTAAAAATATGATGCTAAATGCTATATTAATCAAAACTGTTATATCATTATTCCATCCTCTTTTCTTTTCAAGTTGACTTTGGTAAATTCTGGGTTTAGTTCCCTGTCACTTCATTTATAATAAGTAAAATGCTGTTCCCTGTCATTATGCCGTGGCCATTTTCACTCCTGTCTACGAATAAGTTTCCTCATTTGGCTTCTTTTCCCCCAGGCAAGCAGCGTTGGGGTGCAGGATTATAGAAATAAGATAGAAATTATATAAGAAGCCATATCTACTTTAGTGTTCTCTTACCCTATAATGCTTGATCATTGATTTAAAAATAATATAAGAATTTTCCATAGGCAAAAATTCTCCCTAGGAGTAGAATAATAAAAGGTTTCTAAAAGAACTTGATTATGTTCGTGGAATGTAGGACTTTTGAACACAACAGTCATAGAAATAATTCATGAACAACTTTCCAGTATGTGCATCACTGGGGACTGTGAAATCACTACAGGGTATTTTAACAGGCAGTTTTCTACTGATACACAAGATACTAGAATAAGGAATATCAGAGTACATTCCTTAAAGTAAGTGTGAGTGTGATTTTTGAGCAAATTCTGTTTTGGTTGTTGATTTATGTATAAATGGTGTGGGCCACTGTGAACTCGGTTTGAAGGTAGAGAGCTCAGTTGCCAGACACCACTGCCTTAATTAGCCCCTCTGCAGCTCTCCCCTGTTCCGAGTTTCAAGCCCTCTTCTGCCGAGTCTTGGGAAAGTCTTGCAGCACGTACATGAATTTCCCCAACTTCAGAACCCTTCCAAAGACTGGGGTAATGAAGAGAATCTCCGATTATGGGTAGGAAAAAAATAAAAAGCTTGGCTTGTTTTTAAAAGAGGCTACACAGTGGCTGGTTCAATCACCAATGGCAGTTATTGCTCATGAAAAAAGAAACTAGGTTACTTGGAGGCAGATTATTTACCTTCACCCAGGAAAGAGTACTGGCTTAATTGAGCCCATTGCAGTTTTTAGTTTATGTCAAAACGTATGCATATACAACAAGTAGCAATATCTTAATCTAACAGAAGACCATATACACTCACTAGTGACAAATGAAAGTATTAACTAGGAATATATTATCTCCATATAAATCTACAAAATGTAGAGCATATAACTGAATATTTAGTACCATTGTAGTAGTCACTGTAGCTTTAAGATTTGTCTTAAATTTGTATTATGTCTAGGTTCACAGAAAATAGCTCATTTACCAAGTAGAGGAGAACCAAATCCTCTTGGGTTGTCTCTTTTTATATCATCAAATAATTTAAACATGCAGAAGAATATAGGGAACAATACAAAAAACACCCTTGTATCCATCACCTAGCTTTGCCAGATCTTAACATTTTGTCACATTTGCTTCAGATCTATTATTATAGCTCTATATGGAAAGAAGAGTTTCTGCAATCTTTTATTCTTTATAAACTTTATATATACAGTTGAATTTTTCTACATTTCCCTCTTTGATTCCACACACTTGAAAAGGAACTACTTTAATTAAATTTCTTTTTTTAAATTAAGCTTCTTGATGATCATTCCCATGCAGTCCATCTTTTTTATACATACGTTTGTTTCCATAGTTTACATATACTGTTGTACGATTTTGTG